TTGAAAATGTTCCAGCATGTTTGGCCATCAATATGATCAAAGGTTTAATCTATAACATCACTATCTGCAGAGTAATTCCATTTTGCCCACGGCAAACATATTTCTGTAACAACAGAGGTTTTATGCAACATTTAAATTTCACAACGTGACACTAACACAATGAGAAATACTGTCAAAGTATTTCTGAACTCCTCTCTTTTTATAAAGATTGTTTTAGTGATCATACTGATGGACTTGACTAATGTTAGACACTGCATATTTTATGAGGGCTGACAGTCTCATTAAAAGCCTAGTTTATTCTATTGATATCTTCTATCAATACTACTATTGATAGTACCTATTGTAGCATCTAAATGCTTGAGGTGCAGTTTTCTATGCTTGACAGCTATCTTCAGGTGGTATGATTTTTTTTTTCTCAGCAGAAGTGTTTCAAGCCATTTATCATTCTTACTGAAGTCATCAAACACAGGTGTTTCAGAAAAACTTCGTGCCTTGCAGTATAGAGTCCAAGCTGAACTTGTATGAAATACACAGTCAGTGCTGACTCCCCCGTTCCCACCACAACAACAGTTTTACTGGAAGAACTGCTGCTTTTCTTGCTCAAGCAAGAGGGGTCTATCCAGACCATTCCAGATGATGACACACATAGAATCAATCTTATAAAACAGAACAAGACTTGTAAGTCAAAAGAAAATAACAGGATTCGCTCTGCAAGTATTATAAACATCAAGGAATAAATTCATATTAAACTAGTGCTAATACAGTGTATCTCTGATAAATGAAGATAGCTACCTCTGAGCAAGAGAGGTTGATATTTAAAATCTACCCATTTTTTCCTCACTCTCAGTACATATTACATATAAAGGTAGGTTGGTGGACATGTTGCCAAAGAGCAAGAAAAAAATACCATTGATCCTTTTATTGCTACAGCTTATCGTACTGATAGTTACCTTTTTAAAAGGCAAAGATATAGCTGGTTAGGAAAATGTAAAAGCAATACAGGTAACAGCTAATTCCTTACTGAAGTGTATTTCAAGTGGTGGCCATTGGAAGAAATATTCTGCACTTTAATTAGAATAAAATTTGTTATTGATTTTCATATTTGTTTTCTAGAACACAAGTTTGCAACACATCCTGTACACATGTTACATTAATATTCAGAATGTATTATTAGATCAATATTCATTGTCATGGAAAGATATTCCACTGTAATGGAAAGTTGCCATATCCATATATTAAAATTTAGGCAAAATATATTAAACTACACAGATATTAATTATTGGCTTCTATGCTGTTTTCTCTGTCACTACTCACATACAGGTGCAATAAGACCATTTAAACTTAGAATAATTTTACTTTTGGTGTGCAAGTCAAAGGAATAAAAGGATGGGATTAAATTTATCTATTCTAGACCACTAAAAGCAGCAGGTAATTAGCTTTGTTCCCCACACACTTTTCAGACTCACCTTGTAGTCACTGGGGAAAAGACACAGACTTAAATTCCACCTGAACTCAGCTATACTATCAATATTAAACATTTCAGCATAAACTATGCTGAAATGCCTATTTATTTGGAATGTATACATACTATAGTACTCAGAAAGCTTTGCCAAAGATAACCTTATTTTACATGGTCAATGAATCTCATGAAAAGAGGGTACAAGTTACTGTACATAAAGTAGTAGTGGCTTAGATTTTAATCTGTGAGATAAAGTTCCTCCCATTCCATCAAGTGTAAAAAACCTATTATGAAAGCCTGCTAAGAGACAAAATTTTTAAGTTTCCAGAATGCTTTTCTGTTAAAGCATGTCAGCCTCTGTCACAGGAAACTGGACAACAAACTATTATGCCCAATGAAGTCTTCAGTTTTCTTAACGGGTCATCTTATAAATTACCTGGCAGAAGGAGAGGTTGGGAGTTAAAATGGTACCAGGCCTCTCAACTTTTCTGAAGTCGTTTTCAAATTCAACAGAATTATTGCTGACTCTACAACAGTGTAAATACTGGAATATTCATAGAAATTCCTTAATCCACAGCCTGAAATTATAAACAGACTGGCTGTTTTCCCAGTTCTACATTAACTTCAGTAAAAGAACACTGTTCAGATTAGTTTTTTTAACTGCAAACAGTGATATATGAGCGACAGAAATCAGGTCCTCCACTGACTTTAAGTTAAAGGGGCAAAGCCTGAAGTTGAAGCTAACTGCATTGCCAGAAGAAATATAAACACTTTTTGACTACACAAACAACAAAAACTGTCTTATGTCCCTTTCCATAAGGGAATTCAAGCACAAGGCAACCCCTTAGACTTTTACCATATTTAACTGAGCCAGGGACATGCTCACAGGTAACTGTATAGACAAGTGGTACCACGTGTGGTTGGTTGCCTGTTTGCCAAGAGATGAAAATCATCATGTAAGGTTGCTGTACTCCTGCAGAAGTTGGTCTGTGATGTTGTGCACATCTTCCTTATACCTCTGAACAATGCTTTGTCTGCCTGAGCAGCACTGAAGTACCTACATGGCTCTTGATCTGGGACAGACCAATTTCAAGGATCAGCGCCATGACCTCTTGTGTTCTCCTGCAATACAGATGTAACTCAACATTAAAGTAACTACAGTTGTACCCCTACTAGGCTTTCTCAGGTATTCACCCCAGATGGCATCTTTTAGTCACCACTGCATAACAGGAGAGGGAAAAAATTAATTTTTTTAATTGCTACTGTACAGCAAATAAATTCCAGATATTCTTAGAGATGGTCATTGTGGCACTCATTCTTCCTTGATGCTTTCGTAACAAGAGATACAAACACAAAGATAACAAAAGAAACTTAAAAACACACTTAACTATCTCCACCCTTTCTGAATATGTAATACATCTGAGCAGTGGAATCAATTTTACTTCCTGTTTAATGTTGAAATAGGCAGCATTTTTATGACTAAAGGAGAGACCAAATATACTCTGAATTTTCTCTCTATGGTATCATTACAGTCCTATGCTATTAAATTTCACTGATTTACTAAGAATTCACTGTACTTCAGTGCAAAGCTATCCAGCTGCACTAAATAAAATTGCATCTGAAGTGTACTTCTGTTCCCAGCCTCTTAACTGCACTGGGTGCCTTGGACAGAAACTATTAGTTCTTACAGTGCAGAAATTTAAATTTTGGTCCAGCATCTCTATACAACTCAGCCAAAGTAATTTTCCATGCTGTCCAGCACACACTGTAGTATCACTAAATTCTCCCTACAATATTTTTTGTCCAGAAATCTAGGAAAGAAATGCTTCTTTTATATGCCTGGGGGTTCTCTTTGGTGTTTCAGGGGTGGAGGGAGTGTTGTTTTTTTTTTTTTAACTAAGAAAAATCCTCCCTGCAGCACACTGTAGGGATAAAAGTATCCCCACTGTCAGCAGTAAATTCAAAAGTATACACTACCTAAGTATCATTTAATCCTGCAAGGTACCTTTCTGAGCAGTTCAGACCTGGCCTTCTCCAACACCAGACGACTTTCAGTATTGCAAATGTGCTGACAGTCTGGTAAAATGAAGGGATTAGAGGAAAAAGAAGACAGGAAGAAGAATCCCAAGACAGTTTTTCCACAGACATTGCAGGAAGAGGACTGAGCAGAAGGGTAGCACCCATGCTCCCCCCTGACTGGAGAAAATGCACTGAAAACTGTAATATTGTGCATCTACATAAATAGTAGAACACACATAAGATGAATCTTGCATATTTACCAGAAAACAGAATTTAAAGTTATACAGAAAAAAACCCAACAAATAAAAGCAGGATAAAAGTTTAAAGTACCCAAACTTTTGACAATTTGGCATTGTATTTCTTTTCCTAGTACCACAATTAGAGTTAAAAGTCTATGAAAAACCATCATATATTCAACTCATCAGCAATAAGAGAACACATTAAATAAGTACAAGATTATATACAACTGAACTGTCTCTTAAGGTCGCATCTTCTCAAAGTTTCATCAATGTTCCTGAAGAAAGTTTAAATAATTTTAAAATCTCAAGTTACAATACAAACATTCTAAACATTTTTATTTCAAGAAGCAACTCAATACATTTTGGAAAAACACCAAAAGTATTTCCTATCCCAGCTTTATGATATTAGAAGAGTTTACTAACACAACCAACTTGTAGTCTATGCTGCACTCATTCTGCCAAGTCCTTCACTAAATGCCAGTATTTTGTACTTTAAAACAAGGGACTATTTTTGTCTAAAGTAGACAGTCTAGGCAGTGTAATAACTTGCAAAGTAAATTGTGATCTCAGTGCTCCATTAGTTACATTGTGTTTTGATACAGTTTTAATGTGCTGTGCATTTCAGTGGGTCCAGACCCACGATGCACTTTCTCTCAGGACACACAGCTCTGAATAGCATGTATTGTAATGTCCAGTACCATATAACCTCTAACAGTTCTGTCTGCCTAAGTTCAAATAACTACATTTATTACCCATGTGAATCAGCATGACACTCTCCAATCACCTGGCAATCTACAGTTTAACCTGAAACACTCAGCTTTAGTTTTCCTGACTACAGAGTTGCGAGCTTTGCAATTATCTTCTACTATTAACTCTTTATCAATTAAGTCAAAAGATTTCTCAGATTACGATTTTTCTGGAGAAAGTAGAACTTTGTGCTCCAACTCGGGACTGTTAGGACTGAAAATGTCATTCTTTTTAATAAATAGAGTAACTTGCATTTTTATTTATAGCTTCCAGAAATATTCTACTCAGTTCACTGCCATGTCAGCTGAACTCCTGGTTGTCCAGATCTGACATAAGCTTTTCTATTTCTCTCACAGCATACATCAAACCCTAAGAAAATTTTATTTCTTGCTTGTTTATATAAACATTTAAACTCTTCAGTAAACATATTCAATGTGTTAGTATTTCTCTTTTGGTCTTCTCTAATACCTGCTTGTATAGCACCACATGACAGGCAAACCAACCATCAGGGAGGTGAACACCCTCTGTGTTATTACCTGTTTCAATTTCCCAAATATAAACTGAATTGTCTTCACATCCAACAATTAGTAGATTTTCAACAGGGTCAAATTTTATCTTCTTTACAGGAAACAGATGTTTTCTGGCATGTAAGAGACATACTCTCTTCTGAAGGTGTAGAATTGCTACTGAGTGATCACTGCACACACAGCACACAATACTCTGGTCTTTTACCTGCAAACCAGAAAACTTCAGTTCCAACAGTGTAACCACATTCCTGACCACATCACTTGAACAAGGCTAATAAAAAAAAAGGTTGTCCAGTAATTTCTTTCCCAGAACATACTCATTTTAGAAAATCATGTTCTATTTCAGCCAACATCTTCAACTTGTTTGCACCAGACCAGCTGTACAACTGATCTCCCAACAGGAAAACACATAATCTTCTTCCATATTTTAAATACAATCATTTAAATGACATTTATTCACAATATTTAGCCTCTCGAATCAGTGATTATATAACCAAATATAGAGTAGCAATTGTCCTTGACAAGAAAGTAGCAAAAAAATTACCTTAAACTGTTGTTCATGTGATATAAAATTATGTTGGATCTTATGACAAAAGAATGTATTTCTAATGAAAAACTGGGTAAGTTCAAATTATTTTACACTCTGTGGATCTTATTCTGAAAAGCCTTCCCTTCCTGCAAGTAATTTTTGCTGACACACAGAGGAAATTCCCCTATGGAAAAATTCAGCTCTTTAAAGACTGAAGCACCACCCAAGCAGGCATTAAATCCTACTCAGTTTTCAGGGGAAGGACTAAAAGGACTTTTACAAGCATTACAAACTTTTGTCAAGGCAAAATATTGTTTTGACTATTGTATTTTAACTTGTGAGCAAACTGAGTCAATCAAACTCATCAAATGTCTTCACAAGTTTCCTGAGAGGACAAGTGGAAATCCCAACCACGTGGAACACAATGTTCAAAAAAGTTAAATAGAGCATTCAGTACAATAAATCTTCACCTAAATTCAACTTCAAAATTCTATTAGAAAACAACTTTAAATTATTCTAAATCTCATATAATGCAAAAGCATACATGTGTCAGGAACCAAAAAAAAAAAACCATACACATTTTGGATCATGCCTATTTTAATCTAATCTTTTCTTACTATGTTCAAGCTCCTAGCCTTACTGAGTACAATTTTTAATTTCAGAAGTAGGATTTAATCAGATTAACATATAGGTTGATAATCATGATATTAAAAATGGTGAATAGAACGTTTAAGAGCTCCAATTTAATAAATCACTGAAGTTACAGACTTGCAAGAACCCAACCCCCTGAAATTAAAGGCAACTTTCAAAGAAGGCAATTGAGTGAGGGTAAACTAAGAATAAATTGCTTACATATATATATATATATGCACTCACACACAGAGATAGGTGTACGAAGATATTTTTTCTTTTAAGACATCATTTATTATGCTTTTACTTACTCTGTAGTTTTCTGGAGATCGCAAGAGCTCTGTTACTGGACCAGATTGCAGATTAAACTGATGTAAGATGTTTCCAGTAAACATATCCCAGCAGATCACAACAGAATCCTGGCCCCCTGATAACAGCCAGCTTGGATCAAATCTTACTGATTTGTCATGTGGATAAAGTAAACAAGTGACTCTGCTACTATGACCATTCAGAACCTTATAAGGGAGATGATCTGAAACAAGAGGGTATGTAAATTATTTTTGTTCTTTAAGAATAGGGGTTCCACATTTTACAGTATATTTCCTAAAAGGTGGGATATTCCAAAGACTAAATACAACAATCCTTTACATGTGGTCAAAGAATTTTGGACCTGTTCCTAAGGGGGAAGACGAAGTTCTACACCCTGAGCTCCATCTACTGAGATGAATTCTTTATATTCCCTTCAGTGGAATGATCTTTAAAGAGCCAATTACAAAGAAAACTACCAACCCAATTGTGCTATGCAACATCTCATTTCCAGGTGATTCCATCCACACAGCTATTCCCAGACTCCTAACAGTGGAAAGCATCTTGGTATTATTAAGCTGGGATCTAGTAGATCAGCTACAGAGGAAGAAAAACACTCCTAATCTTCCCTTTTCCTCATTCAATCCCTGACCATCTGCCCTAGTTTTCAGAGAATTTTTAGAGGTATCACTGGAGGGGATGCCAGAAGGATGCACTCTTCTGTGCTCGACTGAGATGAATCTGAACAAAATTATTAAAACTTACCTTTAAACAAAGATATGTTTCCTAAAAGTCTTGCTCTTGCAGTTTTTAAACCTAAAGTTACAAAAATTTTCCCATTTTCACATCCACACACGAGCTTATCGAGCCCAGATATGTACACAGAGGAACTGACAACTGCAGCTTCAATTCCATCTTCAGATGCACAAAGATGATCAATAATGCCCTCTGACATGGAATAGTGTTTATCAAAATTATCCTGAAGAGTCCACACTGCTGTAATTGGGATCTCTAGAGGGTGGGGTGAGAGAGGATTTTTATGTAAAACAAAATATAAAAATTCAAGCAAAGCAAAATATACATTTTCATCTCTTTATCACTTCCCTAAACTTATCCCTTCTCCAGCCTAGAGATGGAATGTCAGCAGCTGCCATTCCTTTTAACTACAGGCAACCATCACACAATAAGTGAGCATCACTTTCTAGTGTGAGAAGATCTTAATGAGAATCTCAGTTTTCATGAAAATTGACCTCAAGTCATAACGAAAAAGATGGTAGCAAGGTGCCAAAAGTGCCAAACCTTTTGGTGAACCATCACATGTTGACACAGGGACATCAGGAACATGCCACAAAGTGATCCTTCCTGAAGCTTCACCAGAAAAAAGAACTTTGTAGAAAGGCTCCTTTCTTTCATTCATGAAACCCATGACAAAAGGAAAACTCTGCCAAAAAGAACAGCAAATCAATATTCTTAAGAGTTGATAAAATTCATATAATAATTACTTGCAAATGCAAAGGCTTTTTTCATCAAAAGCTGTAAAAATATCAAACAAACTATGGTTAATCCCTCACCTGCCACTAAGTCCTGCTCAGACCAAGTCTACTCTGCCTGGTGCAAACCTCTCAAAGGTCACCTCTGCTTTGCCAGTCAGTAATCTTGGCTAAACCTACATCCCAAATGGAAAGTGGAATGGAAATTCTCCCCAGGTTTACTGTCTCCAAATAGAGAATCCATCAATAGTATCACCAGCATATAAAAAGAATGGCAGTGTAAGCATCAAGATCAGACAAAAAAAACCAACAGTGAAACTGATAATTTTTGCATCAGAACAAAGTCAATAGAGCATCAATCATCCCATCTTGAATTACTACAATTAAGGAAAGGTGAAAATTACATTTTTATATAGGTAATAGTCTCTAACACCATCACTGAGTCATGAGGTGCTGGAGCACACCCATAGAGTGCTGGTGAAGGGTCTGGAGCACAATTCTGATAAGGAGCAGCTGGGGGAGTTGAAGTTGTTTAGCCTGGAGAAAAGGAGGCTCAGGGGTGATCTTAACACTCTCTACAACTATCTCATATGTTGGATATACTTATTTACAACACTGAAGTTTGGGAGCCATTCTACTAAAATCAACTGCACTGTAATGTGGTTTAGTTTAGAATCTCAGAATGGAGATCAAAACAGATCATCACACAGGCAGTTTCATTGTCTCAGAAATCTGCATAAAAATTATTCAGGTAGTAAGTAAATATTAAAACAGAAATAATAAAGAGCAGGTCACTTTTAAGGTATACTTTTGGGGAAAGCATGTATGAACTTTCTACCACCACTGTAACCCTATTATTTGCTAAGCCATGTGTTTTGGCTATTTCTTTTCCCTCACCTTTCCTGACCTTTTGGCATCCTTCAGCAGTTATCCCCTATCTTGATTTTAGATCACAGCATTTGGGGAAAAAGCTGAATGGCTTATGCTATTTCCCTTCAATTCAAAATTAAATCTGTCAGGCTTCAGAGGATTACACAACAAAAATGCTTCCTAAGGGCCTACATTTGTCAACAGAAAAAGAACACCAGAAAACCTAACACAGTTAACAGTGTTTTAGTCAGGTACAAATAAAAACCTTCAGAAACTGTTTAAAGACCTGCTTGAGCTGTCACAAAAATACACAAACTAACACAACTTCAGGTAGGAATTAAATCCACGTCTTCCAGCAGTTATAAATTCATAAGCAGTATTAGCAATAAGACCTAGCAACAAAACCAGAGCCAAAGCCACACAGAATAATCTGTTGTATTTTTTTGGATCATTTTTTACCAAGGAAGCCCTGCCATACATCTTTCCTGCCCACCACTCCCTAACTTCCCAATTGGAAACAATTTTTTAAATCACAACTGGTTTTACTTACCTATTTCTTTGTGGTCACACAAGGCACTACTCAAAAAAATGAGTCAAAATACAGGTTATCCAACATAGTTGAATCCATTCGAGATGCTTTGTCTACACAGTAACTTCTAAATTTAAAACTGGTGCGACATGATCTCCTAAACATGAATTCTCAAACAAAAGTATAAATATCACTTACTTTTCAGCTTCCCCTTTTTTTACCATGAGAGGTTTGTTCAAGCAGAGCCCCTGGTTCTGAGGGGAGCCCCATGTGTGTAATTTTATGCACGGTGGGTACTGTCAGTCCGCACACAGTGCAGCAAAGTCAGCAATGTGATTGTGCCTCTGAAGGCTCAGGACAACAGTACTCAGTACTCTGGATAAAATGCCACAGATTTTATCCAAACCCCTTCAGTTTAGGATGGACACACATGGGAAGCAACCTATTTATGCAGTTACAGCTGAAACAAGCATATATTTCCTAATAAAACAAGAACTGAGTAATTTCCTTATATTTGGCTTGTGGGTTGGCTCTTTTGATTTTGGTTTTATGGAGAGGGGTTTTTTTTGTTATTTGGGTTTATTTATTTATTTATTTTACAGGTTTAAAAGTAGAAGTTTCAGAAGTTCTAAAATAAAGCACACCTTTACCTTAAAAGAAAGCTCTTTTGTCAAAGTTAGGAAAAGAAACCATCAACCATTTCGACAATTACCCTAGGTATAGTTGAAAACAAAGACATTTTTTCCCCCATGAAAAAAACTAAATATAGCCAGAATCCAAGACAAAATACACTATAAACATCTTCAAGTTTGTAATTAAAGATTTTAAAATGAAGGAATAAGTGTTAATCATTGTTCTCATAGAACAATTAAATCTGTTGATGAATCCATTAAATTTTTTAGGGATTATTCATGTAACTGCAAATAAACAATAAATCAACTTTCAAAGCTCACTGCAAACTTTACCTTATTTTCCTTCATATTGGTAAAGCAGAGTAAATGAGGATAAACAGTTTCTTTCAGCACCTTCCCATCAGCAGGATATATGCTTTTAGAAAGCCCACTGCACAATAATAAAAAAAAAGTTTTAGGAAGTCATCTTGGTTTAGAAAGCAGAACAGCAACGTCCAAGATTCACAAGTTCAATTAAAAGTTACCAAATAAGTAATTACAAGCGACTTTTTGAAATCACAGCACCAGCTGCCCAAGTTCTACATGGCTAATCTTATTCCTGTGTCCCCTGCTGTGCCAAACAAAGACTGAGGGCTGTCAAACTCCAGCTAAATCTTTGAGTGCCAAAGTGGTTTTGTTCTGGTTTTTGATCATTTGCAACATGCAGAGATTTTCCATAGTAACCCTCCCAAAGTTCATCTTGTACCTGAACTTTTTGTGTGAATTTCCCATCTGAGCCCACCTGTTTAGCAGCTGGTAGATGTAACTGTGGCCATCTTCTGTCCAGATGATAAGTCTGTAAGCTGCCAGCACTTCTCCACCAGCAAAGCACTGACCACTTTTACAGAACTCAGTACAAAGCAAGGAGAAATCACAATAGTCATAGACCTAAGCTCAGAAAAACAATAAAATATAAACAAACAGTACTGGCACATTCATTTTCATTTAAACTGGTTTGGGGCAACGGATCAGGATGTACAACATGAGCCTGACCCTTTGTAGCTGGACTGATTATTTTAAAGCCAAAGCAGTTTTGATACTAAAACTCCTGTGAAGTCAGAATCAAACCATACATTTCAAAGTTAAAGAAACTGACAAGAAAAAAAAAAGAAAAAAAGAGTAGCATTAGGGTCTTATGTTAGATTAGGGGATTTTGGAAGGGATTTAATTTGGTTTTGCATTGCACTCATTATTAATATTTAATGGACCAGTAATTTCTTATGAAGAGCTAGATAATGAATTTAGAACATAAATATGACACTCAAGACTTCAACAGAAGGTATAAATGCTTCTGCCTGATTCTTGAAAAGATTATCTGCTGGTATAATCACAGCACAAATCTTAGCAATGTAATTTTTTTCTTTTCTTCTCTGGTGACCAAGGCACACAGGGTTTTTTTGTTTGTGAGGTGGTTTGGTTTTTGTGTTTTTTGGTGCAAAGTAATTGAAAGTAAAGAACATATAATTCCTCTTGCAAGAATTCTCTTTTTTGTTTCTAGATCTGGTAAAAAATTGATTTGTTTGCTTCCTTTGACCTTCCCATTTTAAGCCAGGATACATATGACAAGGACAACCTAGGACATTATCTCCTTGTTCGTGTTCGTAGTGGCTTCATGGAGAGGATATTCATAGTCACATTTTTGTAATTTCTTCCAGCAGTGTAAGGAAATACATCTCAGAATGAGAATTTCTATGAATTATTAATAGGTAATTTCTATTCATTAGCTAATATCCTCTATATTTTCATTATTATAGAAGTTGTTTAATGAGACACGCTGAACACAATCTGAATTTCTCCTATGCTACCTGCCACGCTCCTTTCTATTTAAAATATGATCACAATATTGCTTCTTACATTCATTGAAACATAGAACTTGAAAATCAAAAACTGACTTATGCATCTAAAACATTGCTTTAAGTAAAATATAGGTATTTAAAAGCATAATGGAGATATTAAAAAACACATGCACCTCTTCTGGAAAAACATTATAGAGACTAATAGAAAACAACACATATTACAGATATTTTCCCATGAAAAACCTATCCATTCTATACATGAAATTTCCCTATAAGTGCTTTTGTACAGCATTTAAGTAGCCAATAGACATCTCCAGGGTAGACTACAACTGCATTATTCAAAGTTGTAGGTGAAATTTTTGCCCCACCCCACTCTTGGCAGTGGTGCTTGAATAGTTACATGTGTTGAACTCAGCACTTAGGCTCAAAAGACATTTCATAACACTAGGAAAGACAAATATAGAGTTTTTACAATAAACTTCAGTTTAAATGCATTTAAATTTGTATTGTCTGCAACTGTTATTAGCTAATTTTAAATGTTTGTTATTTTCTTACAGCTACAAGAGAAAGCACTATAGTGTAGGCTGGCTTCCATCAACAAAGGCCCCTGGTTCCCAAGGACTTGCCAACTGTGCTCACTTCTGTCACACTTAAACAGGTGTTTTTCATGTTTGTCTCCCTGGGGAGGGGACTAAAATGCACCCAGAACCCTGAAACTGCATAATACTCAAAGTAATCCCCTTTCTATCCAGCCAATTTAGTGTTAAACTATTAAAGTAGAAATACATTGATAAAAAGTAAAAGCTTCCTCTCATTCAGGCAGTTCAGATAAGCAGAAAGGGGTTACAGGCATTACTGTATCTGACAACTGGTGAACAGTAAATTAGGGAGAAAAACAAGTATCTTCATGTAAAAAACATACTAGCTTTTCAAAATTATTAACAACATTAAAGAGAAAGTATAATGCTCAATAACATACCTGCCAGCACATGGAGGACACAACTAGAAGGAGCCTTTCTGTGTAAGTACAAAATCGAACTGCTCGACAACTTACACAGCCCAGAGATTTTGATTCCTTCTCACACACACTTTGTCTCTCCTTTAAAAGCACAGAGGAAAAAAAGCCGTAAGATTTGTTCCAGATAGCTGAGTTTTTACTTTTAGGATGGAAATAATGCATTGAAAAGAACTTTCTGTCAACGGACTCTCAAAATTCAAAGCAGCATGTAATTCTTAATTAAAAATAGGATTGAAAGACAACAGGGTTCACAACTACCGTGCAAAGAGAAGACATTCAGAGTGGCTCAGACCTTGATCTCACTTAAAGTGATAATAAACATGGAGAAGGACTAAAGACAGGTCATAAACAGTATCTGCTCTAATAAGGATCTGGTAAGTGTCCTCCAGTAAAAAAAAAAAAATAGCTACAACAACCTATAAACTGACAGTATGAGATTCAGAAAGGTGGATGAATAACAGACTTTCCCACTCATCCTTGTCACAACCAGGATAGTCTAAGATGTTGGTGTTGCCATGTCTTGTTTGAACTTAACACCCTTAAAAAGTGGCGAAAAAGTAATTCATTTTCTTAGTTTTGCATTGCTGAATTTATAGATTGTTAAAAACAATATATGCATTTTCACATTTTTGTGCAAATATCAGACTTACCAAAGTCATCATGCTCAAAATTATGATCTAGGAATTATATGTATTAATTATTTATTAAATCATATAAAACGGATGTTTTCTGTTTTGAAAAACACCTGCAGTATCAACACCTCTCAGAGAAGGGTTACATGTATGCTTGGAATCATGGTTATAACTCTGCAAACCATTTACGTACTACACTTTGCAGCTTCAATTAATTCCAAAGAAATCCAACAATATTTATTAAAATACTGCTCTTTATAAAATAGCTGGATTGTCACTAACTCTGCACCAGACCCTTTACAAAAGGTGGCCCCAGGCAGCAAAAAGAAGGCACCACAGCACACGATTCTGATGTTTGTATTCAGTTGTTAGTGTTACCAGAATTTTTACAACATGACAGTGGGTTTAATTCAAAGACAAAACATTGTATTCCTTCTCTAGCACCTGTTCATGTCAAGTGACAGCTGCTGAGAATATTAACACAGAAAAGAATAAATGAGTTTGAAGAGAGAGGAATAGGGTACTTGACACAGCAAGAGTCTTCTCCAAGTGAAGACACAACATTGTGAAAGGCAGAGAGAGGAAAAACAAGCCTAAAGACTATTTTGAAGAAAGAAAGCAGGGTGAAGAGGGAGTACAAAGGCCAATATTGAAGAGCTCTAAGTTTAAATGACACAGTGAAGGGGTTCAACAACATTACCAGGACAGTAGGAAAGCACATGGCAACTTCAGCATCATGGAATATGAAAAGAGATGAGAAGCTTGGGCACAAGACAGAGCAGTTGTCAAGGCAAGAGCTGTCCAATGGCCCAACTCACTTTAAATAATACTATGAGGATGTGTTTTCAGAATTTTCTAACAAAAGTAACTAAATCTGTTTAATACCTGTCCAGAAGATTTAAATTTATTCATATTCTAATTCAAAGTAGCCTTTACTTGAGAATATTCCTACATTGACGATATTGCTGCTTCACATCTCAAACTGACCTGGATGCTATTCAGAGATGATGACAGGTCCCACACTTTAAGAACTCCAGTTACAGACACTGCAACCAAAGAGTCTTCTGTGAAAAGTTAACAGTGAGATAGTGAGCTTGAAGTCAATTCAAAGAGTACCTACTTATTCAGCACTAAAACATGGATTCTGTAGGACACTGCTTGTATGAAATATCAGTTTTACACAAAAAAGATAACTAATTGGTTATTATACAAATCATATAAGCAAATAGTGAATTGTGCTAACAGAAAGAATAGAGCTGTGATTTAGTGCCTTTAATTTCCCTGATATTATGAAACTATTTTGTACTTAAATCCAAGAAATGAGCTACTTATAGCCAGTGTAGAGGCCTTTCTCTAAAAAAATATTTTAAATGAAACATGATCAACATTAAGAGCATTAAAAACACTTCATGCTATCAATGAAGCATTGAAATCTTATACATAACTGCTCTGTAAAACATGATTGGATATTAAATCAGGTAGGATCACACTATTTATAAATCTTTTATCACAATTTGCCTACATAAACACACCTAAAACATATACCTTGAATTCTTGCAGAGTGTACAATACACATACAATTTATCCAATCAGAAGAGTGAGATGATGACAAAGTGTGAAGAACATCCAAAGTCTTAGCATCAATAATAAGAACATCCTGATATTCTCCACAACAAAGCAGCCAGCCTTCACCTGTCATCCGGAATGAGCAATGGTAATACTGGACAAGTGGAAAGCAGAGAGTCAGCATGAAGAGCTACAAATGGCATGGATGTTTCTCACATTAAGCATTTCATACTTGGATTTATAATCAGCACTTGTAGAATTACTAAAAAAATCTAAGGCATATGTGAAACCATACACAGTGTTGCTACAGACGTAAGCACGGCATAAATCTTAGAAAGAGGTGCTTCCTACTTCAAGGAGTATCTGCCTTGTGTAAATATCAGGATTTTTGTCATTTTGGGAAGGAATCAAGGTGTTAATTTTCATTAAGGAGCATTAATTTCATTCATTGCTAAGGAGTTTGGGGTCTGTTTCTCATTTCTCTCCAAACATTTAACAAAGGTCCAGTAATCAAGAGGCATCTAAAGAACTAAAAACAGGTAAACACACAGACTATTCATTATTAATTTTCTCATAATGAATTTCTGAGTATTTTCCAGGAAGGATTTCTACTCCATGAGATATTCTTTGTTTTGACATTAAATGCCCTATTGTTCAGAAGATTGATTCTTTCTCAACAGTCACATAGAGAAATAAAAACCAGACACAGCAAAGGAACAGAGATGACAGTGGTGCAGAGGAACTATGAACATTTCTTTTTTGCCATGTGTTTTACATGTGCAAGAATACTTGCATTACATATGCATTTATCTGTAATTTTATACATAATTGCTATAAACATGGAAGCAGCCACCTCAAATAGAATTTACATTTAAATGCTAACCTTAAAATAAAGAGAACAATCATGTAGTCAGACAAAAATACCAGACAGACCCACAAAACTGTACCTCATTTACAACAAGTTCTCTGTAGAGTTTTGCTTATATAATAATTCTTAGTTTATCACTTAACAAATTGAAGTCTGAAAACAAAAGAAATATAAATAACTGGGACCAGGATAAATACTGCTACAGATATTATGAATAATATGAAGCAGAACCACTTAAAATTTGCAATTACTGTTACCCTTAAATTAGGCTTGAACTGGAGGATCTGTATAGTCAGTTATTCCTCTGAGAAAATCCCACACTGGTTAAGATCCACAAATGGTTAAGTGTTGACCCTGGTGTTAAATTTCATTTCAAATGGCAAATATTCAGTTTGCACTACTTGACATCTGCCATAGCTGAATCATCTACCCTGAACAAAAGGAACCTACTAGAACAGGTAGGCTAGTAGTTCAATTAAAACCTAATGAAAAACAAAGTAACAATTTCAAATTATGATGCTACTGAAATCAGTGTGCACCAAATCTTCCAGACAATAAGACTCTGTAGGGAATTACATTCTCACAGGTACTACTGCAGCACAAGCAACCATTCCACATGGAACAACAAAAAGCCTGTCAAAAAACCCACAAAAAACCCACCACAACAACAAAAAAACTTATTATAACTACCTGAAGGTTGCATTTTAAGAAAATTTCGCCTCCTAACACCATCTACTGTTTTTCCTAAGGAAGTTCTCTCATTAGAAGTTCTTATTCTCCTTTAGCCACTTTGCCCAAGTTATAAAGCAAAAATAATTATCTAGTCACAATTAAGTTTAGCTCACTTCTAACAGAGGTGAAGCACCCATTTTCTAAAAGTGTTTGCTACTCCTACTTGAAGGGTAAGAACGAATATTCTGCCTCTGATCTCCACCAAAAATGTACCAATTGTCAGCTAATCAGCCGGGCCAGGTTTGCCTACTGCCCAGCAAGACTCATCCACAGCTTCAACTATTAAACCTAATTAAGTATTAGCACAGAGCAGGTCATACTGCATCTCTATTAAATCATAATTTAAGTATTGAGGGCTTTGTGTATATACATTCATTTCAAGAAAATATATGTTTTAAAATTCTGCAGAAATAAAAATGGAGAATAACTTCTCAGTGTATGCTTTTATACACACACATGCATTAAAAAAAAGAAGTTTATCTTCTGTAATTTTTGTTGTTTATTTACTCAAGCTTTTTCCTCTTCTTTATAATTAATTATTGTGTTTGAACTATTTATGTCAACCAAAGCAGTGTCAGGAAAAACACTGTTTCTTCTGGAAGCTTTAAAAATTTTGGATTCAAAATTTGGCTAGTTTGGAGTTACATGAGGTCTCAGATTTCCATCATTTGGAGACTCAGTTCCTCTGTGGACTTCCTCACTGAAGAAAAACAGCATTTTAATTAACCTTGGTGCCTTGAGCTGCTCTTCTGCAAACCGATCCAGAAATAAACCATGTCTGTATCGAATCCAGACACCTTGGGCCCCTCAATCACAAACACTTCCACATTCCAAAATCTAGATACTTATTGTACCTGGCTACAGGTCAAAGCAGACACCTGAAATTATCTGAAGTAATATTTAAAGCAATTTGGCCTCTGAAAATAACGGATCTGTCCCAAGCTGTGCAATGAACGAAAGTGCATTGTTGGAACTGGAATGAGGAGCCTTTTGGAGGTCAGGAGTTAAGCATCAAAACTTTTCAAAAGTTTAAAAACAAGTCTTTCAGCAGATTGCCTCAACACGTTTGGCCAGATTACTTGTAATTCTAAAATATGTCATTGAAAGAACCAATGTTAAGCTTGAAGTTTCCATGCACAAGACAAAAGCTTAAGACCATTTCACTTTGCAACTTGATGTGCAAACAGTAAGTTCATCTACTGCACTCCAAATATTTGCAGCTTAAAATTAATCAGTTTGATTAGATTAAGAAATTCAAAGGAACATAAAAAGTCTCAATTATTTTCTTAGACAAAAGACAAAACTGAAAAAAAAAAGATATAAAATTACTCATATTGTGACAGGGTTTTTTCTCCTAGGTTATGATCTATACATTTAAAACTGTACGTTTCTGAAAAACATCTTCATGTTAATCAAGCAAAAGTCTTGTAACAAACAGAGATATCCCATGAAAAGTTGCTATACTTACATGGATTGCTGTATGCCTATAAGGAAGCTTTGTGTTCTCAATGCACTGTCCACTAGTGACATTCCAAACACACATCTCCCTGCCAAAGATAACTTCATATTATTCTCTGTCATTTCCACTCAATTGGTTGGAATAATTTTGTGCCACCAAGTTTTTCTTTAGTGCTGTATTTAAGTGCAGTCTGGTCATTTATAAAGCTTTTTGTTACAGATTACTGGGTAAGAAAATGTTGTAGTCATTAGCAGGGGATGACATACAGTATCTGTTTCTTTTTGTTTTGGTAATTACACCCTGCTGCCTTGCAACAAACCCGGCTTTAAGGCCAACTCTGGTCTGCAACAAATTGTAGGTATACTGCCATTACAGCTCATCAACACGTCACTGGAACTATCTGTCACTGGAACTACATCCTCCTGAAAATGATTCATTTCACTGAACTTAAACCACACGTTTTGAAAGGCATCATGCATCATCTGCCGCGCCGGATCTCGGCTCTCGAGAGGAACAACTTCTGCTAAGAAGAAACAGTGCCATCACGAGGCTGCTCCCGAAATCTGCTGCCGATGCTTGCCAGCCTGAATACCTGTGCGACAGCACAGCTACACGAGGCTACATTTAAGGTTGATGTTTGAGAAAGACACTTGAGCCCGTTTTCCTTATCTACACGTTATTCAACATGAGATGGGACTGGAGTGCACGAAATTAAATCTTGTAAATTAGGTTGTATGAGGTATGTTATCAGAGTTCAACAACTGAATGTTAAACTTCGATGCTTTTAGGTTTTATTTAAGCAACAAGCATTATTTCCACAGTTGAAACATTCATTTTATGGTTTCTGACATTACATTGTAAGGTCTTTTCTGTATAAAGTATTTTATCATATCAGAAATACTAATCAGTGATTTACATCTTAATCTTCCTACTTTCACATTTTATGATAATAGAAATACATTACTTAACTTACATTTTTCAGCTGAGCAATAGCAGTGAAATCTGTAAATTTGTAGCACAGCATCAGTCAGTAGACTCAAAGTCATAACTTACACAGAATGCTTATGCTGCTTGTTAAACATTTCAAGGCAGTGATTTTCTCCTTCTTTATATCAGAGTAAGTTTTACTGCTTTAGCTACACTACTGTGACACATACATGCAAACATGTACAAATAAGACCAGAATGTAACTTCTGCTTCTTTCTATTGTACTTAATTTACTGTGTGCACTAGCAAGAAGTACTATCACACATTGATAAACCTGTCCTACAGCATATGCTACAATGCAGACACAGAACATCAGTGAGAACTTATAAATCATTATAGATTAGTTTATAGACAGACTTCCACGTTAAAAGTACAAAAATCATGTTCAATGCTCGTTCTTCTGGAACTAGTAAGTCACACAAACTCTTAAAAGATTCTGAAGTTGCACAGGGAGGAGTATCACGGAATCATCTTCCATACAATTTCTTCCACTCTCACTGCAAGGAGATGGAAGCTTGAAACCAGCAGTTCACAAGCCAGAAAATGCAGTTGGACAAATGCTGCATCTCCTGAAGATGAGGTTTCCTATTCGTAATTATCTCAACTTCATGTTACAGGGATTAGTGATGGATGCTCTGCCCTTATGTAATACAGATGAGAAGTCAGCAGTAATTCGGTAAAAGTGAACATTTAGAGGGGCCAGAAAACAATTCAATCCTCCCTATACACATTACAAACAAGTTCAATGAATGGACTCCCTTCAGAAATAGAATCTTTAGGATGAGACCATCTCTATGGTATATCCATAGCAAAATCCTTTCTTAACACTTTCCACACCAGTATTTTTGAAATAAGTATCTTTGCTCCCAATATGATCTGGAAACAGTACTGTACTAAGAGAACTTCAGAACTGAGATGAAAAACAGCTTCATCTCAAAACCCTCGAGTAGAACTGTAGGAGAAACAATATTGTGGAACAAAACTAGTTCTGTAGACTTCTCACCCTCCTTTCTGTACATAACCAGAACTGTTTACCACTACCTGTCTGGTGAGACTGTCTAACCTTTCAAGATGAAAAAAAAAACCAAACAACAGTTTCAGGCTTCTTAAAGTTATCCCTTTCTTGTATACTCATGACTGAATGAGAGAATCAGACAGAGATCCGAGCAGATGAAAAGGATAAATAAGTTCCTCAGTGAGAAAGTAGAAGCCTTAAGGTGCTACAAGGTGTAGCTTGAAGAAGGACAACTGACAGGAACTCTTTATACAAAGAGGTTTCAACAGAGCTGCCCTGTTAACTGGAAAAGATGAACCCAAAATGAGAGGAGAACATAATTACACAGCAAAACAAAACTGTTCAGGAAAGTGCTTATGGAAGTAAGCAGCTATCCCTAACTACCTTCAACAGCTGAAATCCTGAACAGATGGGCCTCAAACCCCAGCTAAAAAGATTATCAAATATTCAGAGATAAAAAAATCCTTGAATGCTAACCTAGGAGAACTGCAGAAATTAGTTTGACTCAAGTGATGGGCCATGTCACAACAAACACATACGAGAAAAGCTACAAGATCAATCAGGACATACTCCAAAACAGCCTGTTAGGATTAAAGGCAGACAAGGAACATATACCCCTCTTATTCAAGGGCAGTCTTTTCTGTCCTTCCACAGGTACTGACTGAGGAACCATAAACCAGATCAGAGCATATCAATTTCTTTTACTGGTTCAGTTCTCAAGATGAGTTCAGGAGGAAACAGAAAAGCACCATGATATTAAAATGATCCTGAACTTGCTGATGCCCCCCAATAGCCCATTAGTCTCCCTTTGAATGGGGTCTAGTTGGACATCTGAATCTGTCAAACCTTTCTATTGTCCAATCTCTTAAAACTATTGTACATAAGCAATACAGTAACTATCCTAAGTAGCTGCTATAGTTTTCGTATCATGAAATTGGATTAAAACACTTCTGCAAATGTGTAATCTGACCTACACCTGACATACATTTCACGAGTTAAGAAATGAATAATTGAATATTCAGTTACCTACCCATTTTCAGTAGCACTTACTACATATGGTTGTTTTTCAAACTCTCTTGCTTTTGCCAAACAAGTTACAGAAGCAGTATGGCCAAAGAGAATTTCTTTAGAGGAAACCTAGGAGAATAATACAATGGTTTAACTTAAACATAATAATTTCCATATAAACTAAGAATATCTAAACCCAAGAGAACACCACTTGTAGATATTAACAAGTACTTGTCAACCTGCTTTATATTCTTATGTTCTTCAGTCATGTTTCTGGAAGGCACAAAGATGTGGATGAATTCTGCAGTTTGCATAAAGTACAGTTTTTGTATTCACTGCAGTCTAAAAACTGCAGCTTCTGAAGAATATATGGAGCATCAAATGTTATAAAACAGGCAATGTGCATAACACCTCTGGCCTTCACCCTACAGCACGACAAGCAGGAACAGACAGATCAAAGCTCCTAAGGATGTGTTTCATACCACATTTAAATAATCCCTCTGAATAGCTTCACTGCATGCAAAGGTCTTAACTGAAAAAGGTAACCCATAAAAATGTAAACTTTCAGGTTATATTTGAGTACAAATGGGGCAACTAAATATAAAAAGAGATCTGAACCATAGTTCTAGGAACACAGAATAAAAAAAAACATAGGAACTGCTTTGACTCTGTTCCATTCTCAGGAAAAAATATTAAATAATCAAAGCAATAATTTGCATCTTAGTTATACCCCAAATACAAATTTCAGCTTCTTCCATCTTTCTTGAATTTTTACGTTGTTAACCTGGTAGATACCTGTGCTTTTATAAAAAGATACTTTTCCTTAAATGACAGGCCATTCTCAGCAATTGATTTACAAAAGCAAAAAAGACTTCACAAGATAGGAATCATGATAATTGCATATACTTAGTTGCTGTCATTACTCAAACATGGTCATCTATGAAAAGTTTTCCCAAGTCTGCAAATAACAGGTTGCTCATACAGGCATTTCACTTTTTGCTTCATGAGTTTCCTATATATAATAAATACCTTTTAAATATCTTTAAAAATTCATCTGAATAAGTGCAAGTCTGGATAATCCCACTGTCAATAAGATAAAACTCCAGCCTGCCTATTTGGCAAACTGCAGCACAGTGGACACAAACCTTTAAGTCTGATGAAAGATCCCAGAGACATATTTGTCCTTCTTGACTCCCTGTAACGATGGTCTGCTGGTCATCTGTGATCAGCATGGCAGTGATGCTGTGGGAGGGAGCTCTTCTCCCCCACACGGCCACGGCCGGCACCGATGTCTTCATAGTCAGCACCTGCAAACAAACAAGTCATGATGATCCTAAGCAACATGAAATGTAAGAAAAAATAACCTAAAAATAAGGCAATGTAATCAGCATCTGAAAAGGGAAGCTACAAAGGGTTGCTATAAGGACTCGATGAGGTATTGAAACACTTTATTTGTGTTGCCAACATCACACTGACACTTCTGAGGACAGGAACTATCCCAATACTGAAATATCAGCAGCAGGGGCTGTGTGCTGCCCCATAAACTGGTTCAGCTCTGATGGGCCCATGTAACTGTGTCTTCTGATTTTGGTTGGTGGAGTACACCGAGGCTCCTCTGTTCCCTCCAACTAACAGGGGTCCTCATCCTCAGCACTGCTGGAGCACAGAGATGGCACAGGAGCCATCTCTGTCAACAGGGCTCTGATCGCTGGGAGGGTAAGGCAAGAGACAAATAATAGGGCAGGAAGGATAGAACTCGTGGTGGGTCAGAGAGGAAGAGAAAAATGAGTCCCAAGACAGCAAAGCACTGAATACTCAACCATTCTGTGGCATCTCCTAGAAACAAGAACCAGAAGAAAGGTGGAGGCAGAGTTGCAAGCTGGGAAACAGAGAGAATGAAGAGACTCTTCCTGTTGCCCAAGTCATAAGACTCTGGTCCAAAAAATTTATCATCTAACAGATTTGCCCCTGCTGCATAAAACTAGTTTAATGGAATTGTCCATGATGACTGATGGCCATTAGTTCATTCAGTATACATTCTTAAGAACTGTATTTCCAGGAAACTCTTTCTATGTCTATGCAAACACCAGTACTTACAAAGTATTCCAAAATCTTCTTATCAAAATGTTCTACTTTGCTTGTTTTTAAATTTGATATCTGTTCATTTTAAAACCACTTCTGCTTTTGAGCTGCATTCCGTAGAAACTAGTAACATACCCAGCAAGTATGTCTCCTTTGGGCCAGTGAAAGTACTGATTGCTAAAAACTGACACAGATGAACAATATCCTTAGCATCCTTAAATGAAAGAGCCCTACACTAAACTGCCAGTGTCTACCTTAGCCCAAACCCAAAAATTCCCATATATACAAGCCACCTGTTTCAAAACTCCCAAATTATTGACTGGAGTACACAACATCATCCAGCACTCCTTTCCTGTATCCTATGATGGTGGTTCTTCATTTTTCCAGTGAGTCTGTACAGATACTTCTAAACCATCTATTTACCTCCATTTCCTTTCCACTTCCCAGAGAAAATGCCAGAAGATTGTTGTCAGCTGCTTCTAGCTACTGCCAAGGATGGAGAAGGCTATAAATTGGACTTGTGCATGTGAAGCAACTCTTTAAAAACTGAAATTCTCTTCAACTTCACTGAGGGCAGTTTTAACTCCCAACAGCATGACAATGAACAGACAGCTGACAGATACTGAGTCATGTAAAAAATGTTTGTATATATAAAGATGTTATTCCCAAGTGTGAGTGAACAAGAAAAAACAAAACAAAACAACAGATTTTAAGTTGTTTCAGATTCACCACTGTCTAAGGTCACTTAAATATTTTAATTTTCTTTTCAAAAATACTGTATATCACCTACTTTTTAATCCAGGTAGCAATAATACTATTGAAGAGATACTTCAGAGAAGGAGAGACAACAAAGTCCTTTGCACATCCTGACCAAAGATGTTTAAAATGAAACACGATGCTAAAGTAGTGTAGTTGGGAAAAGTCAGTGAAAAAAAACATGACAGTAAAGCTGAAATCTTGTGATAAGAGACAGGACCTGGGTAGAACAAAATGCATGGCAACCAGTAACAGCAAATCAAAGAAAGCAATATAGAAATGATGGAAAGGAACATGAAGAGCAATTCCTGTGACATTCAGAAAAGACCACAGGATAGAAATGGAGTAACACTGTAAATGCTATGGTAGTTTCTTACTGCAAAAGGATTTTCAACCATATTGCTCTGTAAGCTATACGATTTTTTTTGTTAATATAACATTCAAGCTGCATTAACTATCTGTACAATCAAGTAACAAATCACTGCAATGACAAACAGCTCAAAAAATGCTTTTTGATCAGGTTATAGGCACAGGATTTAAAAGGCAAACCAGGGGTTTCAACCTGCCCTGTAGAACATCACAGCAAAGGTTCTGTCATGGTCACGATGCAGCAACAAGGTCTACTTCTGAGATGAGACTCTTGAAACACATTGCTGTTTGGTTGTAGTGTTTCCCCACAAGAAATTCTCCATATAAAAACCCCTTTGAAGTTATTTTAAGAAGCAGTCAAAGGGATCAGGGTATTTTCTTTAATTGGAAGATTTAAATGGAGAATAACTTAAGCTATGTTTAAAGAAAGTGTAACCCAGCACGGCAGCAGGGGAAAGCAGGGACACACAGGAGGTATCTTCATTACTACAACTAAAAGCCTTTAGTGACACAGAACTGAAGGAATGGCCTTGGTTCCTGACAGGAACACGAGATGAAGGGCTCAGCTACTGAGGAAAAAGGCTGAAAAGACTGGTATGGCAGCCTAGCCAGGTCCTGCCATACAACCTCACACAATGTCAAGGGCAGAGGAAGAAGAATCCAGGGAAAACATGGAGGTCATGAGTTTGTTAAGCTAAATCCCATTTAGTTTCATTTAAAAGCTCTTTGTGGGTATATAAAAAACACTGAGAGCTGTTATTGATCTCAGCATTAGAATTTGACTTTTCTAAAATTTATTTAGGAAATATTATGGTAACTGGTAACCATGAAGTCCTTTTCTCTTGCAGAAATAAAAGGTGTTGCAATCAATCTAGTGATTTGGTTTTAGTTAAAAAAGTTGCTATTTCCATAGGGCTCATAAAATGGTGGCTGCCAAAACAGTTTGATAACTCAAATCCTGAGTCTTTAAAGTGCATTTGCTTGCATGTCATGTAGTCATTTATACTTCTACCATGGGAGTGTTCAATTAGTGTAAAACACCATAAGGAAGTAGAATTCAGGTTTGTACTGCACTGAATATTGAATATTAAGTCATAAATTATATTTTCTTGTAAAGGAAGCATAGAATTGAGATCAATATTCTTAGCAGAAGACCTACTGCTGAGCAAGTGATGGGTAACAGAACTCAAATCAACAAGTTAAAACCAAATAAATTGATAGAAATGCCTAATGTATACCAATCTATTTGTCAAACTTTTAATTACCCATGAGTGAGATGAATTAATAAAAAACTACTACTACAGACAACACTGGTTAAAAGAGAATTAATTTAGACTGAAATGTTATGAGAATATTTAGTACTATTTCCTTTATGCTATGACTGAAGCACAAGAGAAAGAAAGCAGAAGATACATAAATTTTCATGTTAATAGAACAGTCCTTAACTTCCCCCTCCTCCCTTGCTTCTTGGTTAACTCTTCTTCTGGATTAAAATATTTTGATGTACAAGTAGTTTGATGTGAAACCTTTGCTTCTAAATGAACCAGGACTTCACTAGAAATGCAGCATATTCAAAATGCACACATTTTTTCTGACAATACTCAGTTTTAGCAAATGTGTTAGTGATGCTGATAGCACCAGTAGCAAACTTCTTTGAAATAAAGTCAATATATATTTATCAGACAGTTCCTTTAAAAAAGGTAAAAATTGTTTCCACAAAGTCAAATATTGCCCAAGGCATTTCTGAGCTGCATGGAGCTTATCAGCACATGTCAAATTCCTGCAGCTCTGCCCACTCAGGCATGTCTGATTTGCAGCACTAACCCCTAATTCAACTTGAAATCATGTTTCTCAGTCTTATTCCTGTTTCTCCCTGCTTACAGCCCAATAAGCTTATTTGTCCTGCCCCTGTGACTACACTGCCAAAAAGTCTGCTCTCATTACTGAAAAGTTCTCTGTTTTTAGTTAAACACATCAGCTCATCTCACCACTAACTTGTTACGTTTCTACCATCCTGCTTCTAGTTCTATGAACATTTCTCACACCAAAACCACACCACTAACCTCTGTTAACTTGGAAAATGATCCAAATTTGCACAGCTTCAAGGACTTTGGTAGTACTACTTTAGTAACTTTGTGTAGCATTAAAGTTTAATTTGGAAAGCTAAGTACACCACTCTTTATTCTACAGGAGCCATGAGGTATTTAAAAGTCTAATCAAAAGCTTTAAGGGGCCAGAAAGCTGGAGCTCTGACCTTGAACGCCTTACTAAGCACATATTAATGCAAGGTCTTTTCCTCATCACTCAGCGTTTTTGACTGGGACTGGTCATGAACTGAGGGGAATGAAAAAGGTCAGATTATATCATAAAGAAACGGTGCCATCATAACATAAGCCTTCTCCACAAAACCCTGACTCCAGTATTGGGAGCATATCTGGGCTCTGCTCCTCTACTGACCTTAAAACAAAAGGGAAAAATTGCCAGCTCCTCCACGAGGCTCATCTCAGACCTTCCAACCTGCCACATAATTACTGCTCTACCTGGGGCACACAGCCCTTCCCTGGGCTGCATTTTCTCCAGGTAAAAAATGTAATCCTAAAGCAAGCGGCTCGGGAACATCTAGGTTAAAATGGAAGAGTGGTTTTTGTCTCAGGAGCATGGCCACACATGCTCTCAGTGATCTGAAGTGAGAAATCTGGATTCTGCTTTGCCCCCACTGAAGTTTGCAGAGCACATTCCCTATCGCTCCTTGCACTTCCATGCAATGTTTGCTCATAAGCATAAAGGAAGCTTCACTGTAGGAAGCATTCTGAACATTATCCAACTACTAACTGCAGTTTAAGAATCATATATCTTAATAAAGAAAGAAATTGGGGTATGTATTTCAATGAATTCAGAACTAACACTTCATATATATCAAAGACCTTAAAATTAGCAACTGAGCTCCCACCTAGAGAATTAATCTCAAACATTTCACATCATAAACCACTGGTGGTGACAGAATCTTTCTCCTCATCACTACAACCCATAACAAAAACCAGCAAATACAAATTCATGGTTTATCTAGAAAAGGAGAAAAGACTTCATGCAACAAAATAATTACTTTACAGGTAACAGTCAACCTGCCAAAAAACTTTTCTGAATTTATAGTCATTATTTAATGTTTTCTGTGCATTCCAAACTATCAATACAGGGGCAGTTTTTTTGGAAGTTCAGTTAAATGTTTGGCAATCAATGCAAGCATAAGAAAAAACCCCAAAACTGCAGAAATTGGCTTATAGTCCTGAAAATATTAAGATACTAGCAGAATTTAACTGTTAGTAATGGATTAAGTAAATTCCCTCTATTTACAACCCTTTAGATTCATCACTGTAGTAAAGGAAGCATTAGGAAGTAAAATCAAGGTGGAGCCTGGTAGGTTTCCATGACAAATTCCTAAGGTTTGTGTGTTTCTAATCTTTCTCATTCTCTGATTCCTGTCTAGTCTTTTGTTTTATCTGACATATTCTCTATGTACACAAGAAAATAAAATTTAATCAATATTGGTTTTACTCCTAGTAAAAATCTAATTATTTCTCTTAAAAACAGCTTTGCAGTCTACTGATCTGTTCTAAACTGCTTTCAGAACCTTGTCAATTTACTTTATGATATAAATGTTGCACTCTCCTTAAGGATGTTGTATATTATCTCTGGTAACCAGCAAAGATATTTCCCAAACTAAAAAAATTGTATTTACCAACTATCCACAGTGCATAGTAAGTCCATTTAAGAATCATCAATAATATATTAAATTTACAAGATATTTGATAAAAGTGCCTGAAGTACAGAAAGGGAATGACCAAATAACTTACATTAAACACAGCAAGACAGGATAAAGGTATTTGAAGTAATTATTAGTGAAAAGTAAAAGAATTAAAGACTCATAAGAAAATTAAAAACTCGTTCATAATCAGCACATTGTACAAGTAAACTAATAACTGGCTCCTTTAAGAGGCAGAGTCTGCTCTCTGTTGGCCTAGCAGCAAAAAAACCATTTGTGTTTCAAATACTTAGTTGATATATCTAATCAGATAGGGGGCAACAAGTAAAATACTCTAATGATCAACATTTCTATCCTAAGTCCCAATTTCTCACGTCCTAACATATCCCACCAGAGCCCTCAGCATTCCACACCCTTTCCTCCCAGCCAAGCGCTGCCCTTGCAGCTCAGGCGGGGATGGTCCTTCCCTGCTCCACCCCGAGAGCCGCAGCCAGCGCTGAGGGACACCCAGACCCCTCCCGGCACGGGAACGTCCCGCTGCTGCAGTCCAAGGGAGCAAAGACTGGGACCAGGAATCGATACAACCCATTTTAACCAGCAAGAGCCACCTCGTAATACCTTGTTTGTATTTCTTGAACGAGTGACACAAGAAACACTTATTTCATTCCACACAATAATTCACCACAATCAGAAGGAGCACGGTAAGGGCAACACCATCTCCCAGCTGCTGATTACATCAAAGGTTTGCAGCACAAATTCAATTTTATGATGTTAATCTCAACCTGCCACTCAGAAATTTTCTCTGAGGGATATGATTTTTTTCTCTGGATTTCATTTTAAGAATGATTTTCTTCTTCTACAATCAATAAAGATATGTTTTCATCAAAAGACTCTATCTTGGCAGAATTCAATTGGCCATCTCAAAACCTTTTGGTGACACAATATTAATTAAAATAGTTTATGTTGCACCTAAGCTGGAAAATGGGGCAGTGGAAACATCAGCAACTCAGAACACTTGTGCTTTTCTCACTGTCATAAGGCACAGTAAAATAATCTACACTTCCTTGAAGTTACTGTTTTACCTTGTGAACTGATACATTATATTAAGCTCCCTAGAGAAGTCTCTCAATATGCTCTTTTGAAAGGAGATAAATTAAAAATGTGTGCAAAAGTATGAATTCCCACTCTCTGTCATCAAAGGCTTCAACAATAATCAATTATATAGTAGCTGTTTAAACACATTAGACAACAATTAATGCATGTGAGCTGGCAAAGGTGGGTTTAAATCACGTATATCAAGGATATAAACCGAGTTTATTTGAAAAAAGAAATACATTATACAAGTGTGTGTGGAGCCATAAAAAATGTCTTCTTTAAAGAAGTGTCTGAATATCCTATCAGCTACAAGAACAGTCATCTACGGGAAATGAAACATTGCTTAGATACTATGCAGAACTACTAAGGTTTTGAAAAGGGCAGATAACTCACATTAAGTGGAGAAAAGGTGTCACTTAAGCCATCTTCAGTGGAGTTACTCATATTCAAATGGTGAAATGCTCTGCTGCAGCAGAGTTTTTGGGACATTCACCCATCAATTCTCACAGGAAAGCATATGTGACAGAAAGAAACATCAATTTCTGCAGCACGTGAGCTTTGATTTCTATAAAATTGCATCTTAAAGGTAGATCTTGCGCTTAGCTTTATATACACTCAGTCATCCCTACCTTTATTGAAAGTAACAATTTTCCATGTGAGAAAGTGCTCCTTCCTCATGCTAGTAAAGGGACAGCTCCCTTCATTTTCTTAATTGTAAATTCTCTTTTGAGCAGAGACATTTACGTCCTTGAAAGGGTCAAAGATCACAACATAATCCCACACAAATCAAAGGGCCTGGTAAGGTAGTACCTACTTGAAGTTTGTGGCCTACGTAATTTGGAAAATGTATAGAGTTATAAACTTGAAGTCTCTGCCAAGACTTCCCATAGATGTAAGCAAAAGTCACTTGCAAGGGACAAGAGTTTTGATAGACTTTCATTTTCAAGAAACATCACATTGTGTAATGAACCAGCCATAACAGACTTCATTCTTATTTCCTCTGCTTTAAACACAGAAAATACACAATCTAGTGAAGACACATAATATTTAAAAACAAATTTGCAAGAATATCAAGCAGAGGCAGTGAATATGAATCAAAGCTTTAAATCATTAGTTTTGTCTTCCTTAAGTGACCTTGAACTCATTTAAGACAAAAAACCCTGTTGATCAGAGAGAGGTGATGTTTTTGGTTCAGCTACACTGTACTCTGGGATGTTTAAATAACAAACAAAACTGGAATCAGATGCTGGAAGTAAAACAATTAAAATATTTCATCTGCCTTTGTTTTTTGGATTGTAATGTAATAATCATTAATTATTGTTTTAATCAATTGCATCATAATGAGGATTTCCAAACTCTGACAAGAACTACTTATTTTTCCATGTCACTATTAGAATACTCTCGATTACCAAACATCTCTCTGCAGTGTTCTTTGCTATGGGGCATGCAGCTGTTTGCTGTAAACAACTCCAAATGATTTATTATATACACAGTCAAACCTGCTCAAGTAAAAAGACACTGTTTATTATGAAGCAGGATCAAAGTCCAAAACTGATTCAATGTATTGCAATGCATGGATTGCAGTTTTCGTTACAGTGAACTTCTAATTCTAACACTGAAAAGTTTTTATGAGAAAAACATGATCTTGTCATGTAATCAATCCTACTGACACAAACCTTTTGAGCAGAACTACCTCACCACGACAGCCATTTTTGCAATGAGTAATCCCAGAAAGCTCATATAGTTCTGTACCACCGGCATCACTGATATACTGAAATTTCATGATATATTAAGGAAACACTACTACAGTTCCCAGAAGTGACTTGGAAAGTAATCATGACAGAAACATAAGGCTCTAAGTGAGCCATCCTAATTAATTTCACAGTTGAGCAAGTCTCAAGAAAAACCTCCAAGCAAAACTATTTTCGAGAGTAAATAGAACTGCTGTATTAAAAAAAAAAAAAAAAAAAAAAAAGTGTTTCTACTCTAAGGTTTTGCATTTATTTGATAAGAAATCACTAAAATAGCACAAAAGCATTTTTCCATTTCAAGGAACTAACATCTTGAACTCTGTGCCTTTACAGTAATGGTTTTCTCCCAAAAAATCCAGTGAACATATATACTTTAAGACAATTGATAGAACACATACAACTCACTGGACCACCTTGGGAACAGAAGCTACAGACATTTAACATCAGAGTTAAAATACAATGAAGTTATGTAGTTGATGCTAAACACATCTGACCAACAGAACCACCCAGAAACTTGGATGAAACTTGCCCAAGCAAGAAAGAACAAACGCCGCACCTTCCAGAAAAGGCTTCGCACCCACCAAAGAACCCAAAGTCACCGCTCTTGGCCACGGCGAGACCCAACCCCATGCCCGAGGGAGCAGAGCCCTGGGGCACACGGGGCAGCCCCGCCAAGGGACGCCGGCGGGACGGGGAGCGAGCCCCGGGCTGGAGCCGGCGGGGGAAGGGGGCTGAGGGGAGCATCCCCTGCCTTACCTCCAGCGGCTCCCGGGCACCGCGCGGGGGTCAGGACCGGCCGGGAGGGAGCCGGGACAGGATTTATCCCACGCGGCAGAGGCAACACCCAGCGAGGGCGGCGCGGGCCGGCGCCAGCTCGCTCTCCACGCCACCGCCGCCCTCAGCCCCGTCAGCGAACGGGCTGTCGGGGCCGCTCCCTGCTCTGCAGTGGTGAGGGCGAAACACGGGCTGGAGGAGAGTTCCGTGGGAACAGCGGGGCTGCAGCCTGGCTGCTCACCCGGCTGCCCCTCACGGCGCTGCGGACCCGGCGCCCAAGGCTCAGCTGCCCCTCAAAGACACCCCCGCCGGGTGATGAGGCGCAGGGAAACTTTCACCTGCCTGCCCTTACCTTAAGTGCAGTGAAAAAGCGTCTTTCCGCTCTCGGGAGGCGGGTGGAGCGGGATTTCCCACAGGTGCGGGAAGCAGCAGCTGCTGGATGTCTATGCCCGAGGGCAGCGCCCACAGAGCCGGGCACTTCATGGAGTGCGGGCTGCGTATCGTCCAGGGTGTGAGTTCTCTAAGTTCAGGCATTTCAGTCTGAAATATAAACTACAGTGAATAAACACATTAGGAAGGTGAAACGTGATGTCTGTTCAGCAGTCTTCCTCTTCTTGGTTCCAAGGTCAGTCACAGAGAAGTCTGAAAAAGATTCTTGTGAGGGGGAGAGCTGAGCTGGCTGCACAGTGTGCATGTGAGCTCATCTGAACTGCTGAAATACTTAGTCACAGTCACATCTAGGACTGCAAACAAAATTGTGAGACACATCATTATGTTAAAAAAACCTCTCTAAAATCATGTTGTCCTAAATTTGCTTGCCTGATACTTTTCAATTTTTTTAAAAAAGAAATTACAGTGAAATCCACAGGGAGTTGAAAGGATGCTACGAGATTTAAGTATATATTTGATACCTATTTTAGTATAATAAATGCCTATTTTAATAAAATAAATGTGGTAGCTAAGGTATGCAATGTTTTTATTTTAGCATTACTGAATTTGCATTTACAGTAAAACTATTTGCCCAAGACATCTGCCTCGAGATAAATAGTAATGTTCTCAAATGTGCTCCACACTCTCAAATGTGCGTCAACAGGCTACATTTCATGGGTACGCAAATGCAATAAATAAAACCAAAAGCCTGTGAAGTTTGTAACATACTGAAACATATTTCCTTCAAACTATTGTTTTGTTTTGTTTTGTTTTAGCAGGTTTGTTGTTTGGATTTCAAACTCTTTTTAATACAATAAAATAAGAAACTTTAAAGATCAGACTTCTTAAACCACGTCACTTTATGAATTCTTTTATGTAGACAAGTCCTGAAAATGGAACTTCAGTACAAAGGGTATGTATGATTAGACTGCATCAGTGTAGAACAGTGAAACATGGTATCTTAGGTGAAAACATGGTATCTTAGGTGTCTCTTTTCTGGGCTTTTTTATGGAGATTTTAGTAATAAGCAAAATAAGATGATACAAGTCAACTTACTTTAAAAACCATAATACTATTTTTCTCAGAAAAGGGGAACACTGACCCTTTAAAGTCAGTAGAGAGAACTGGAACCTCAGCCTAAGTTTTTGTGGTCCAAAGATGCTCATCAATGCTGTGAAATAATTGTATGAGAGCAAGTAACCTAATGGATAAACTAGATATTGCTTGAGCTTTTTGACGCTTTGTGTGGGTTGTGAATTCTACCTGTGAACCTAAATAAATTATTTTGACAGCCTCTCCTTAATCATCAATACGTGGAGGTTTCCATAAGAAAAACTGTCACATACATTTTAGCACAATTTGACACAAAGGGAAGATCACACCAAAGACCTTAATTGCATCTTTTGCTCAGGCAGTGTCATGAAACTGTGATTCCTATTTTGTCTTTCAACACCATATTTGTTGCCTTGGTAGAACAAATCACTCCATAAAAGTAGTACACATTAATATCGTATAAATATATTTCATAGAATCACTGAATGGTTTGGGTTGGAAGGGACCTTAAAGATCATCTATTTCCAACCTCCCTGTCATGGGCACCTTCCACTAGGCCAGGCTGCCTTTCAACCTGACCTTGAACATTGCAGGGATGGGGAATCCACAGCTTCTCTGGGCAACCTGTGCCAGTGCCTCATCACCCTCACAGTAAAGAATATATTTCTAATATCCAGTGTAAAATTACCCACAAGCCATTCCCCCTTGTCCTGTCATTACATGCCCTTGTCAAAAATCCCTCTCCAGCTTCTTTGTAGGCCCCCTTCAGGCAGGAAATAAAAAAAACTTGCTGGAAATTGTTTTGTTCACATTCTGCTATTCTTTTAAAAATAATGATTTGGCTCTGAAAAATTGCCTTATTTATAGATATCCCAAGATTTTTAATATAACATTATCCAAGGTTTGGGAACTCTTGTAATTTCTTTTAAGAGACTAGAAAGTGAGATTTTTATGCATGTTTCAAGAACAGAATCTAGGATTTTAGGTGTAATTGCCTTGAGTATGAGGGTGAAGCAATAATTGAAATCATTACTATAACTTTTGCCTGTTATTTCTGAAAGTGTTGATATGAGGATCAGCTTCACAGAAGTCTGGTTTATTACTCTTCCTGTGAAATGCTCCCTTGTTATGTCCCTTTCTCACTATCCCTGGTTTAGCCATCTCTTATTTCCTTGAGCAAAGAGAGTCACAGAATATTGCTGTTACGCCACTGAAAAATCCCACTTAGGCCATAGCAGGTGTAGGCAAAGTACTAGGATGAGGTTAAAGATTTGATCCTTAAATATTTTTAGGTGGTTCGGCATTTTTTTAATGTAAACACTTCTCCTTTTTTTTTTTTTTACGTAAGTAAATATACACACACACATTAAATTGGAAATGTTGTGTCAAAGACAAGACTTCTACAGGAAGATAAAATTGCAGAGATCAAGTATTCATATGTATTTCCCTGGTTTGTGGCCCTGGTTCTTGGCAAGAGCCTGCATTGTGGGGAATACAGAATGAACGGATTCATCAACCTCCCTGCTGAGAACACCAGCTGGATTTGCATATGAAAACAAACTATGAGAATTACTTTGGCTCTACTTTTATGAATAACTTGTGATGTTTACAGAATATTCTTCATTTGGAATCCGTAATGAATCAGCATCAGGCAAGGGCAGTTCAGTGATGAACACACACAGAGGAAAAGGGTGGAGATAATGGAACGTAGACATGGAAAAAATCTCTCCTGAAGGAAGTAAGATTTTTTTTTTCTAAAGGGAATTTTCTGTATCACAGCTACAGGAATCAGTTGTTAGTTGTATTTTTGGCCATTGCTTTCACAGGCTGTTACAGAAGGCTTGCATTCTAATTCTAATCCTTTTCTTAATTTTTGCTCTGACATGCAAACCACGTCATCTCATTTTATCCAAATGTAATTCTTTTTAACAGAAGAGGTAAAATTAGGGGGTTTTAAGTATTTTTTCAGATTCTTTTGTTAAAGAGGATTTCTTTTGGCTTGGTGAACTAGTGCTAGATTCAGAAATGCAATGCTGCATTACAGACTTGGGTATTCAACTACTTGGAGATATTGTACAGCTAATTTTCCCATTGGTGGTTTATTTTTCTCATCTGTAATTTAATAAAAATTATATTTACTTCCATTATGAAAAGTCTTGACATCTACTAATGAAAAGCACTTCAAAAACTTTGAAAAAAACTTTAAGAATGTGAAAAACTGCCCCTGTTTCTTGTGGTCTGGGGTTGTATGAACCTGAACCTGTACATTCATACTTCTGATTAAAAATAATATTGGCCCACTATTTTATTAACCATTCAGGCCATATAATAATTTCAGTCTCTGTCGGGATTATCATCATCCAGTAATTAATTTCTCTAGTTTTCTTCCCTTTAGCTTCTTTTGAAGTTTTTTCCTCTTTATCTCAATGGGCAGCAAAGCAGTTTCAATAAACTAAAATATTTACCTGGCCTGGATTAGTAATCAAGGCATGTTTCTGAGATGAATAAGAGCAATTAGTGGTTAACAACATTGTTGACAGATGTTACATACTGAAACATGAAACAGCACTAGCTTAGATTGCATTAGGGGATAGTTGTCAAGTCCTGAGAATTTACTGTATTATCTTATGTATAATGTGATGAAATATTGATGAAAAAATGTAACATTTCATGTCACTGGAGCTATTGTTTTGCAAATATGGGTATGTTCACCATTGTCTGGACTTCTGGAGACTTAAGAATGCTGTTGATTAAATCAACAAACCTTTATGAGAATAAATGTAATTTCACAAATTGCTGTCAGATAAAAGGGTGAGATAAGTCTGTATTTGTTACATTGTGGAATTAAAGCCAGCCAGGGCTTGGTAATACAGAAGTCAATCTCTTAATAACTTCCTTACAGGCTTTACAAAATGTAGGTTATTGCTTGTTTTTTTCCCAGAAAATAATAAATTTGTAGTCACTACATCCATCAAAGGGGTAGTTTCACAACATAAATAATTTTAAAATATGAGTAATCAGAATGGTTTTGCTTGTTTAGTGTAATGACCAAGGAATGTCATACACGCTTTGAGACACCAGAGGGAGCAAAGTGCAAACAGGGAGGAAGGGAAAATCCTATTTACAGCTTATTCTGCTCGGAATGCAAAAACGTGGTTTGTTATTTGAATTGCAGTTTAACTGCATTTTGAGCTTGAAGAAGTAACCTGTTCTCACTTAATGCTTTTGTGGGACATGAGAATCCAGGAGAAAGAAATTACCTATTCTGTTTTTCTACAGAAGCAGAATAGGAAATATTTGGGTTTCTTATAGGTATGTATCTAATGTGGGTTTTGGGGTATAAATTAATTTTTTTAAGAAAACGAAAAGGCTGAAAGTGCTGAGCTATTACAGATTTTTAAGAAATATTAATTTAAGTAGTTCATATGTAATAATTTAACAGAGATACAGGAAATAAGGATGTCTCATACATTTTGATTTCATGGCTTTTCTTGACTATAAATATTTGAAA